AAAAAAAAAAAAAAAATAGTAGATTTATTCTTTTTTCTTTAGAAAATAGAGTAAAACTCTACCTTACCCATAAGATAATGCGTAAATCCTTTCCTAGTGCTTCGATAAACCAACACTACACCTTGTGGGTCGACGTGTGTGGTGTACATGGAAGGACTTTTCATTCTTGGGTACGTGAATCTCATCTGCATGTGAATATTGTCGACGCTTTGTAGAAAGTCACAAAAATAGCGGCCAGTGGCTTTTATCATGCAGGCATATCTGTTACAAAGGCAATAATTACCGCTGAATTTGAATCCGCAGAAATCTGGGCAACGTAAACTTTCTGAAATACGAATGAAAACGCTCGACGTTCTTGTACGAACGAGAAGTAAGTTATTTGAAATGAATTTCAATTTACTTCAAAGTATATAAATCCTTCGCGTTCTTAAACTTTCGGAATTACATTTTAAACAATTTCATTCGAAAATTTCCAATTGTTGTTCTTGACTTCTGTTACATAAGAAACGTGACAAATCTCGCGTCCACAAGAAAGTAGAATCTCGAGTCAACCGATATTTACGTATTAAAATTATCTAACGTTTTAAATTTACAATCTACATAAAAGTAGAATCTCGAGTCAACCGATATTTACGTATTACAATTATCTAACGTTTCAAGTTTACAATCTACATAAATCACGTCCCGCGTCTTGTATTCAGATGTTCACATAATTTCCTCTCTCGAGACATCGAACAAGACACTGATAAGGCAGAATATTAAACACGTGATATCCCCGCCGGGTAAAACTATAACAAAGACAAATGCATCGTCGAACTTAACAAACAGTTGACAATTTTAATTTTCGTTCGATAAAATGAAAGAGCACAAAAACTGAAACGTTTAAAGCAGAGAGTATCGCTTTCAGCGCATGATATGAAAGGGAGTATCGATTCAAACGCAATAAAACATTAAGCCAAGCTTTTAATGGGGGCTTGTATTCCCCTGCAGGTAATAATTAATTTCTACATCACATAGTTCTCCACGGTATAATGGTAATTGGACCGTTTAATTAGCCAAATCCAATATCGTAGCACGAGGCTCAATCCAATCATGCACGTATTCCAACTCGTACGACCATAATGGATACATTGATTCCGTTCGTGTTTAAACGTCACAATTATCTCTATCCGATTCCTCTAATTTTACGAAATAAAATCGTAGATTTTTTGAATATTTTTTTTTTGTCGACACGTTAGTTTTTTTCTTTTTTTTTTTTTTATTTTGGATTGCCAAAAATATCACACACCAGTGATAGTGATATTTCTTAGAGTAGTCATCAACAGTATGTGACTCTTGGTCACTATTTAAAATTTAGAAAGAAAATAATGTGCAGATAAAGAAATCTTTTTATTAAAATAGAGGAACAGTTCTTCAGGGAATAAAAAATTGTTTCGTACGAATTAAACAAGTAATTAAATAAATATTTTTACAAATTTCCTTCTTTTAAATGCAGATTGAATTTCTGGGAATTGAAATTTTAGTTATGAGAAGCGTGTGCTTTTAGAATTTTTCCCAAGCAAGCCAACTAAATAAATATTTATTAAGCATGAAGAAATGTTTTAATTTTAACTAGTGTCATTCAACTCATTGACATACGATTCGTGAAAGTTTATATCAATCATCTTATATTCATAAGTTAAAGCAAATCTCATAAACTAGAGTAAACTATTTGAAGAAGAAAAACGACTGAAACTTTTGTTGTCAAAATGTGTTGTTCATTTGACGTCAGACAGAGAATACACAGCTTTAACTTCTCTAAGTTCCTTTCGTGCGGTAAATTACTTAATCTTGTCTTGTCATTTTTGACCCAATTATGTTTGCCTACCATTAAGAAATTTTTTATATTTATGATAAATATGAAAGAATCGGAATGAAATGCATTTTTCATTTAAACTCTGTGAAGCGACAAAATCTTTCTGATCGTTAAAGATAAAATCTAAATTGTCAGATGAAGAAATATAATAGATCAATATTAGAATAATTCTCTTTTCAATTTCTGGAAGCAGTGCCAATAATGTATAAAATATAAGCATCGAATTGAATACACAGTATACAGAATATAGCAAATTAAATATATGGTCGAAAGAACATTAAGTATACCAAAGATACACAAGTAAAATTAAGTAGTCTGATTTACATTTAATCTAGATTATTGTCTACTATGTCTAGTAGACAACTAACACCTCCGCAATATCAACTGTGAATTGAAAATTCGAATTTTTGAATTCGAACACTTACCCTAAGTTGCTAAAAAATCGGACGAAACACTTCCCAAAGAATTGCATTACATCCTCCACGGACTGGCCGTTGAATTCAGCCAACGCAGCGGCTAAATTCGTCATGAGCTCGTCGGGATACTTTTGCCGCGTGTTGAAAACCATATGCTTGCAATCAGCTCTTTCCAGGAGCTGAAGCCACACATCCTCGCCATACTCTAACTGTAACGAGAATTTCATTGCTCTTTCAGCTTCATTTTCTTCTCTGATATTAGTATTCTTTTCTGAACAAACTTTCCACTGTACGTTATATTACTTTTTATATTACTTTCTTTAGATTCTCCTTCTCTCTCTTCTTCTTTTTTTTTTTTTAGGGGGAGGGAGGAAACTATTTTATGTTACTTTGGGATTTTATCTTTTGAAAGATCTTATTACGTTGATGCAACACTGTAAAGCCATATTGCGTCGTGGGATTCAGCAGAGAGACGATGTTCTAGAAAACACTTTTCTTTTTTAATTTTAAGATATGTTGTAATACTCTCTTGAAAAACTTTTTATATTCAGAGGTATAGCATTCTTAATATCCTAGAAAATATATAAGAAATCTTCTGGAAGTTTGGAAATGTAATATCACATAGGAAATTTTAATGTTCTGAGGAGATTTCAAAGATTATTCAAGGATTATTTGATATTGTGGGAACTCTCGATGCTCGAGGGAATATAGACGATATTTCAAGTTTCAAAATGTAATATTGCGAAACGAAAGTGTCAAATTGGTTACTTTCACGGGGGAATGATACATCGGGTAGGTCAGCGTGTGAAAAAATTTCATTCACGCCGGCAGATGATTGATTTCCGATCAAAGTAGCTTAGAGACAGTGAGAAAAGACAATATAAAAGGATAGAGCGTGTAGCCACGTTTCTACTATACTCCAGGGAAAAGTTTCACCCTTTGTATTTCCTATTGTAGCTCTTGTCGTGAAAAAACATAGAGCTAACTAGCTTTTTACGTCATTCATAAATAATGATGATGAAATGTTGCACGAATCAAATTGCAAGGCATATAATCCAATAATTAATCGAATTTTCTTCATGAATTTCTTTCATAAACTGTGAAATTGACTTAGAAATATTAAAGAAGATCAAAAAAATTTTTTTTTATAGAAAAATTGTTTATTTTTAAGAGTGTGAGATCATTCTTCAACATCAACAAATGTTTTTTCACTGATATTAATGGCTTTTTTCCTAGCTTTGATATGTATTGATCCGATGTTGTTATTGCTGTGCTTTTACTTCGAATTTCTAGAATTGCCAACACGTGGATGATATTGAAATTTCTCTGATCTAGAAATATCTCTGACATTGTTTTTCATAGATCGTTGCTTTTATTGTCCATTATTTTCCATCGACTATAGCGTTATTGATATCGAGCAACGAATGAAAAAGTTTTCTAAAATGGAGATTGGATTTACGAAAGAGAAGAGAAATGTATTTCATTGATGATTTACGATGAAGATAAAAGGAAATAACTTTATCATCTTAAAAAGCTGATTTTACCAAAAAAAAAAAAAAAGATCAAACCGAGTATGTACTTTGTATATCGTTTCATTCTTAATTATTCTCTGGGTTTTAGAAATATGTTTTAAAAATTAAATGTCAACACGCAGTACGAAGATATTACAAGATCATGCGGAATTTTATTCTGCAGTATTACTATGACTGTAAAATTAAAGTACATACCGTCTAATATCAATAAATTTCATGAAAGTAATTTTACGAAATTAAAAGGATTAAATTAAAAAATAATCTTTGCAGAGTTAAATTTGTTTGAAATATCACTCGTATATATTTTCGAACTTTCGTATTACATTTCTTTGAACTTTCTGAATAATCACTCATCAATATAGGAGTACAACGTATGATGTTCAAAACATGCATTGCTCGTTCTACACATTCACAAGAAATCGCGTAATTAAGCCAATATCTTGTTCACTGTGGAATAATCAATGTTCGTTCTGGCATAATGACTCCGGTCACGAAAATTAATACGATCTTCACATCAATGAAACCCCGCGAGACCCAACATGTGAAATGGACACGCAAATTTTTCGAACGAAGCGAATCGGCAGTTTTCGATTATCAAGCATTAATCAAGTGCTAAATTGTACAAAACTGAAATGTCCATCGTATAACGAAGAAATACAAACTTGGTTAAGATGATCAATTTGTCCCGTAAATTGTGCACGATTGAATTTCTAATTTCTAACGGAACGATTTGCTTGATCTTTTAATTCTCCAATTAAATAATTAAACGAAGATTTTAAAAATCTTTTAATTCTTAATTAAATCGTCTCCTAATTTTCAAGGAGGGAATTTTCTAACCAATTTCTAATCAAATGATCATACTAATACTCATTGTTAGTCGAACAATTTTCTAATCGAACGAATTCCCAAGCTTCAATTCACCAATTTAATTTATTTCCATAATTGGCTGATCAAAAAAGCTAATCAAAACAACGCGTGCATGCTAACGAAGATAATCTAACCGCTTTTTCTCTTGCGCAAAATTTACACCTTAATTAATGCACACTTGCAGAAACTGCAAACGAGATTCTCTCTTTCGCGGCGGGGAACAAAGAGTGATAAATCGTTGACTATACGATCGACGTCGATTCATTGAAACTCAATGCATTAGAGAAACAAATTAACGTCCTTAAGTGACGGAAGAACGATGCTATTTTTAAATCTTCGTACAATTAAGGCTCAGAGGAAGAAGCCTGGAATCATCCATATTCAGATACTTTGTTTCATTACGTACCTTCAGACCATTTCCTTCGGCTACTACGTGACTCTTTTAACAATGACCGATTATTTTTGCAACAAATCAACGACTTGCACGTCGCTCGACAAACGTATCGATCTACATCATACTGCTCAAATTTAGGCAATAAGATGTGCAACGCAAGTATAATACATTATCCACAATGCACTGTTATTAATTTCACGCTTGTTAACGAAATTCTGAAATACACACTACATACAGTGTTCAAATATTAATAAGAATCACTCGGTATTACAAAATTATGAACGAATCACATTAATTTTGATCGTTTCCAACAGCTAATCGTGTAATTAAATTTAACGCGATTAAATTGATTTATGCTATTCGTTCGAGAAGATAAGTACAATTTATGAATGTAAGAATCTCCTCTTTGAAGTTTTGCGTATTAATCAACGGGACGGTGCGAAATGATTTGAAATATTTCTTTGCGGCAAATAAAGTGAGATGAAACTTATGGGATTTATGAAATATCATTTTTCACATTAACATTAGTAATTTTGCAAAAAAAAAAAAAAAAAATGCACGATTGATCATAATATGATTTCCGAAAGGATTACTTAACCACGCGTTTGTTACGTCTAACGAGTGAGTACAATAAATCGAATGAGACGTTCGAATCGATTTTACGATCAGTTTCATTTCGCCTCGCGAAACGCGACGCAGAGACGCGAAGTTATTGAAGTAATTTTTCCTAAGAAGCACGGTCTTACGATCGCGCTCGATCGTTTTGTCGCGGAAACGTCGAGCGGATTAAAAGCTCGCGGAAGAGTCGGAACATTTATTTCAGTCGTCGATACTTAAACAAGTTGGGACACTTTATCGAGATGATTAAGAACGGGACGTGAATCTTGCCGAGGCTGAGAAAAGGAGGATGTTGAAGGAAGCTATCGTGTTGCAGATTGGATCATGTTCTTTGATAGTTTCCATTCCTACGGAATTCTCTCTTGGATTAATTTCATTTATATTCGCTCCAGGGATGAAATCCTTTCTACCCTTCTAAAGTCAATCGATTTTAAGTTGTATACATGTTGCATAAATATGCGCATTAATTGTACGCGCTACTCTTCGTGGTTACCGAGTCATGAATTATTCCGAACTAATTAATTAATATGCCATTAAGAATTTAATTATTAAATAATTTCCCTCGAACAGTATAGCTTTACGATCGTTCGGCCTTTATAAATTACGTTTAGAATGTTGAAGAAAGTAATTCTAGTGTTGAATTACTTTTGCATGTATTATCACGTTGTCGTTTTGCGTTTCGATTATTTAATTTAATATCATGAATTTAATGATGTAAAAGAAAATTACAGAGACACACGTCACTCCGAATATATATCATGTACGTATTTACTGAATAGAATTTGAAATTTATATTTTCCTTCATTGTGAAAAGAAATTTTCGAATATACCGTCACTGTATTACTTGAAATTGAATTGTAATTTGATGAAATAAAGGTAACTTAGATTACTTTTTATATCCACTAAAACTTACAGACGCATTTAAGATTTATATTTAAATGAAATTATTATTACGAATGAAATATGGAATACCTACGTCTGCTACTTACGTGCAAATATTATTTCAATTATCAAGATGCGTAATGATATACCTATTGAATTAAATTATACATCTATTAAATTTACAACAAGTTCTTTGATTTTACGGGAACAAATGTTATCGCTTTATTGAGAAAGAATTATAGAGATTTATACTGAAGGAGAACTTCAGAATAATAGCAGTAATAATAATTTAATATAATTCTATACAGTCGTTGAAGGGGAACGAAGAAAGGAGTAGGTAAAAGAGAATTTATGCTCGCCATTAACTTCATAACAAGAACTTCAGGATATTTTTTTTTTTTTTACTGTCTATATAATCGATAGGATTTTTTTAGCCTGGCTTTGTATGTAGTCTTTACGTGTTATAAAAATTGCAACAATGCGCGAAAAATTTCGCTCTCGATTATAGGTTGTATATATACATAGAATGTACATGTACAAAAAAATCAGTTATTTGTATGCTTTTCTCATTGAAATTGATGCACGTACCTCTAATAACAATTGAAATATCATTGTCAAATATTCGGTACACGTGCGTGCAATAAAATAAGGAAGTAATGATAGCATTGCACTTGCAGAAACTTTCATTATCAGTCCAATTGTCACGAGTCGGAATGGTCAACATTAAATGTTACAGAGTGATTG